CCAACAGCAGCAGCAGCAACAGCAGCAGCAGCAACAGCAGCAGCAGCAGCAACACTAACCTGCCCTCATTGTTGACATCTGCAAGGCCCCAAATAGTATGAAGCGTTTCCTGCGGCAGCCCGCTGCCCTCAAGAAAAGCAGCAGCAGCAGCACCATTAAGATAAGTAGGTAGGGCGTCAGTAGCAGCAGCACCTCGGGGGCCCCCCTGTGCTAAAGCTTCTTTCCAGAGCTCCCCATACACTTCAACTTCTGCTGCAGATAAAACCGGTACAGCAGCAGCAGCACCCGACGACCCACCCCCTCCATCAGCTTGAATCCCTAAGCCAAATGAGGGGGCCCTCAAGCTTGAAGAATCTCCTACAGAAGAAGAAGGGGGGCCCCCCATAGTAGAGGGGGGCCCCCCCATTGGGGGGCCCCCCATTGAAGTGGGGGCCCCCCCCATTGGGGGGCCCCCCATTGGAGATGGGGCCCCCATTGGAGAGGGGGCCCCCATTGGGGGGCCCCCTATAGAAGAAGAGGGGGCCCCCTCAGGTGGGTACGGTGAACCAAAAGCATCGTCAGGGAGGGGGCCCCCAACAGGGGCCCCCGGAAGAGTGAAGCTCGAATCAAAAGGCAATGCTAGCTGCTGCTGCTGCGGCTGCTGCTGCTGCTGCTGCGGGAAGTCAAGGGCCCCGGGGGGCCCCATACTCATTAGGGGGCCCCCAACGACATTTTCTGGGGCTGCAGCAAAATTATAAGACGGAGATGGCTGCAACTGTGCTTGAGAGTACTGCATCCTCGTGCTGCTGCTGCTGCTGCTGCTGCTGCTGCTGCTGCTGCTGCTGCGTTTGCTGTGCCTTCTTTTGCTGCCGGGCCCGCAGCAGCAGCAAAAAGAGGTGGGGCCGCTGCACTTGGTGGTGCTCCGCCTACGCTCTGCTCCGTAGCAGCAGCTTCTGATGCCGTTGCTGCTGCTGCTGCTGCTGCTGCGGCTGAACGCCTATGTGCATCCGCTGCACCCCCTCGATAGGAAAGTATGGGGCCTCTGGGGAGGCGGGTTGAGGTGTATAGACAGACACCTCCGTGGGTGTTCCTGCTGCAGCAGCTGCTGCTGCTGCTGTCTGCTGCAGCTGCTGCTATGTGTACCACTGGCAGCAGCAGCGCAAGGGAAACGTTGTTGCTGCTGCTGCTGTTGCTGCTGCTGCTGCTGCTGCTGCTCCTGCTGCTGCCGCTGCTGCAGTGCTGGGGGAAGGATTTAGAGATAAGAGAGGAAACCTCCTGTTTTCGATGGTGTTGGGGCTTTCGCTGTTGCTGCTGCTGCTGTTGCGGCTCATGCTGCTGCTGCTGCTGCTGCTGCTGCTGCTGCTGCTGTTGCACTCCTGCAGCAGCAACTCCATCGAGATCGTAAACCTTCTTAATCTAAAAATAAAGGTTTATTAAAAATAAGGGTTTTGTGTTTTGCTGCTAAGCCGCAATATGCAGCAGCAGCAACCCCCTCTTTGCTGCTGCTCGTCCGGCGCTGCCGACAGCAGCAGCGGCCGCAGCAGCAGCAGCAGCAGCAGCAGTAGCAGCTGCAGTAGCAGCAGCAGTTTGTTTTTATTAGTGTCTACGAAAAAGGCGGCAGCGCAATTGAGTGCTTCGTCGGCAACACCCCAGACGCTAAACCCTAAACCCTGAACCCTAAACCCTAAACCCTAAACCCTAAACCCTCAGGGGGCCGAAGCCTCCATCTGCAGCAGCATCAGCATCAACAGTAAAAGGCTCTTTAAACCCTAGCAGTAGTAGCTTCTAAACCCTAAACCCTAAACCCTAAACCCTAGTTCCTCCGTTCCCAAGGCGTAAACCCTAGGGGCCTCCCTATGTACCTCAAACCCTAAACCCTAAACCCTAAACCCTAAACCCTAAACCCTATCTGAGGGTTTTAAAGCGGAAGATGAATGCTGGCGAGGCAAACTGGCAGCAGCAACAAAATTAAAAAAAAAGAAAGCAGCAAATTTATTTAGAAACAAACAGCAGAATGAATAGACAGAGACAGGCAAATGGGGTGTATATATATATATATATTTATATTATATATATAATATAAATATAAATCTATATATGTATATATTGTATATATATATATAATATATATATATATATATATGCTGCAAATAAAATATTGAATGGTCTACGAAATAATATATATAAAAATATATATATAAATATATTTAAAAATATATTTAAAAATAATTTAAAAATAATTTAAATGGATTTAATAATAAATAATAAATTAAATAACAAATTAAATAATAAATTAAATAATAAATTAATTAATAATCGAAATAATAATCTAAATAATAATCTAAATAATAATTTAAATAATTTAAATAATTTAAATAATTTAAATAATTTAAATAATTTAAATAATTTAAATAATAATATAAATAATAATTTAAATAATTTAAATAATAATTTGTATGCCTCTCTGTCTATCGTCATCTTCGTTTATTTGCTGTCTCTCTTTGTTTTTTTATTTATTTATTTTCTCTTCTCTCTCTCGCTTCTGTTTATATTTTAAAGTTTGCTTCTGCTGCTCACAACGAAACCATCAATGCCTTTACATGCAGCAGCAGCAGCAG